GAGGTCTGGGTTGGGGCAGGTGGGCACTACTGACTTTGACAAGCGACACATGATCGTGGTGTGTTTGGTGCACGAGCTTGGAAGGTCAGGATGTGAGAGTCGCGTAGATAGATGCTAGCACACTAGGAGTCAACATGTGCATATCGGAGCACAGAGGGATGGGATTCACTTAACGCGGAGGAGAGTTTGTATCGGAGTGTATGATGGAGGTGAATACATTAGATGCATCAGGGAGTGAGTGGGTGGTTGATGAGGTAACGCTGGATATGTGGTCTGATGGGTCTCGTACTCAGTACTGTCAGTCTAGTGTAGGTGGCGGGGATCTAGCGGGACTGGTTCTGACGAGGTAAATGAGGATGTACACTAGTCATGGTAACGTCTCAACATACAGTTGACTAGAGTGATAAATATCTGCAGCATCTGTTGCAACGTGAGGAGATTGATCTGTATCGGTATCCATTTTGCGTGAGCGCTCACATGAATCATCAACTGCGGTCATCTATCTGGTGGGGAGACTTGAACAGAGGCACAAGTCATGTATGACGGTCACTCTAGTGAGTCTGTTGGCGGTCAGAAACAAGAACTATGACTTTCTATTAAGGGTCTACTAAGGTGATAAGTGTATATGTTGATATTGATAGTAAAGATAGAGGTACTAAGGGAGGGATGGCACAGTGTCTCAAAGGGCTGAAGCGTATACTAATGAGATAGCAAGGAGACACATGAGTTCAGCAACTCACTAACAATAGTTACCACTACTTTGTGTACTTGCGAATAGTCTACTCGAGGGAAGTTCATATCTGGTTTCAAGTGTCAACCTGTATCCATCATATGAGTGGGACAGCCGGGGGAGATGCTGTGTACGGGTAGTACATCGTATAAGTGGTGAGGGGTGTGTCGTAGGATCTAGTCAACGGGTGAGACACGGTCATATGTCACAGATCACGGCTAGTGAGTACTAGGCGGAATGTAGTAGAGACAGTATATGACAGACACGAGACAAATGACATCCGAAGTCCTGCTCAGGTGTCTGTACAACGTCTAATCTAGCAGCGCTGAGAGAAGGAACCGAGCACACAAGACCTCTGAGCGCATGAGTCACTATGTCAGAGTACAAACGTTGCTTTTCACGATACAAAAAGTAACACTGTTAGATACATATGAGGTACTAATCAGAGTCACAAGTAGAGAAGTAGGCACAGTCAGACAATGAATGAAGCCTCGTGAGAGTATATGTATTTCAGAGTAGACACTCTGGATAGCGTGACGGTAGAGACCGACTCAAGTCGAGGTTTGAGCACTCCAAGGAGTGACTACGTCAGACGATCATAAAGCTACACAGCGCTGAGAGGTACTGCATCTGGCGTCACTATCACAGTGGAGGTCGTACGACTCTAGAAGACTACATCACTTATGAGTCAGTCTGAAAGAAGGATGTACCTGAACGTGGTATGGTGGTAATCAAACAGTGTAGATGAAGGTATAGTATACTCATAGGAGAGAAGCAAGCGTGATTATCTATGGTACAGATTACATGCAAGTAGAGAGAGCATCTTATGAACTCTCTCCACTATGAGTCATATAGCTCACATTAAGGGATCGCACAATACCTAACTTCTCTGGAGATGTGGTGCGCACAAATCGTTGTAACGCGTATGCTGTTAATCAACATGCGAAATCTATCAACACCATAGAGCAGTGGTTGGTAAGGGGGAGCAACACGGTAAAGAATCAAGCGAGTCCAGTCTCAGGGCACAATGGAATAATCTGGCGGTGTATCCTGAACGGTGGGTAGATGGGTGAGTCGCAGTATGAGGGCAGGCCGTAGAGCATAGACGGGAATTACACCTATACAGGTAGAAATAATATACAATCATCTGTTTCTTAACCTCGGATGAGACCTAGTAGGAACGCACCGTTGGCACTATGTCGCGGGTCAGCACGCTGATTAAGGGGACACATTCTATCTAAGAGGGGACTACGATACATATTGGTCAGGAGATATACTGTGGCAGTGGAGTGGCGCGTCTGTATGAGATCTCAGTATTTTGGATTGCTAGTAATAGCTACTGACACTGTGAGGCGAGGGGGAGCGAAATGAGGGGCGGTCATCAATACTCGTACGTCATCCGCGAGTATCGGACACTTCGCGCTGGAGCGGGACTAGTGCTTGTCCGTCGAATAGTGGTGGGCAGCTTAAGAACGTGAGTGGCAATTATTCTGGCTCTTCAGTGGTATCTGATAATCTTGAGCGGAGGCTACACGAGAGGAGATGGCGGATGGCCTAGAGGAGTGGAGATAGGTGGGCGTATTGACCAGGTTGAGGGAATCATAGTGTGGCGCAGGGTGCAGTGGTCTTACCGGTCTTTGTGGCATGAGAACTGGTGTGGGGTATTTACTGACTGTCACTATGTCATATACACTTAGGCTATGCAGAAATCGGCTCTGTGATATAGTTGGGATCATAGGTAGAGGTCGGGGAGGATAAACCGCATGGGTATTGGAGGTCACGAGGGGCACGCGCATCGTGAGACTCTTAATCTCAGGGTCGTGGGTTCGAGCCCCACGTTGGGCGCAAAGTTTTTTGATTATGTTTCTATCATGAGTTGGGATTACAAACATGTCTTTTTCCTTGCGATTACACACATATTTTGATAAAAACAGACAGATCAAACTTCAAACTACATTCAAATCAGGGTTGCAACAAGCCAACTGATTAATCATAACGAATTATTGAAGTAGCTGTCAAATAAGTTCGTTGTCGACAAAATACGGTAAGATCATATACAAATAGGGAGGACGCGTCGTCTTACCAGGTGACTCTTACCCGTGTTCCATGACCATTCGTTTCAAATTTTTAAACGTGAACAAAAACCCCTGAAAACAAGCGTTGGTGGTATAGTGGTTAGCATAGCTGCCTTCCAAGCAGTTGACCCGGGTTCGATTCCCGGCCAACGCAATACATTTTTTTGAGCTCTCACATTGACTCACGACCAACTTCACATATTGAAGAACGGTACATAGGAAATAATCTATTACTGCAACAAAATGGCACACGCGTAACTACTTGTACACTCCGCTGTATATTCATACACATCCCTGATTTGTCTTCAGGAATAGCTTTAAACTGTAATGAGCCTGGTAGTTTACACCAACAGTGAGATACTTAAGATTGGGAGCACGTTATAGTTACGAATGCATCACAGGATAAACACAATAATACAAACAGAAGGCATGCCATGGCTACTATCGCAGTTCAACCACTAGAGGGCAGAAGTAGCCTCGTTATCTCTGGAGCCTTGTCAAAACACTTCCAACCAAACAATTATTTTGTGTGGCTCTAGGCACAAATGCAATTCATCTTGAGACGCAAGTAAAGCGTGGCATTTCTAGCATAAAAATATCATAGTTTTTGTGGCTACTTACTCATGTTGAGAAAACAAGCAAACATGTCTGACAATTGCAAGAACATAAAGCGGTGCACTCGGTTGAATGCTTTCAAATGAGGGGTAATGAGCTCAACAGGCAAGTATACATTTAATGGAATCAACGTAAACCACATAAATTATCATTGCAGTAGTTGTATAGTGTTACAGCCTGATCAACATTCTACTGCGTTAGCACAATCACACCACCGCGCGGCGCTATACGCACGCAGAGACAATGCAAATAACCAGAGCATCTAATCAAAGCATCCATGAAGGTAGAACTAGGTAATAAAGCAACAGAAACACATATAACCATCACACTCTCAACACAACTGCATTTAAGTTTACACACAACTGCATGTAAGTTTACACCCAACTGCATTTAAGTTTACACACAACTGCATTTAAGTTTACACACAACTGCATTTAAGTTTACACACAACTGCATTTAAGTTTACACACAACTGCATTTAAGTTTACACACAACTGCACGACAACACTTTGATTTTAGAACCACACACAACAGCGAAGAATGAAAAAAGTGATTTAAACTCACCCACCTCCTCCGTGTGACGTCACATATGTACAAATCTGAAAGGAAAAACAAACGTATCAATGTGTGTAGCATGTCATGTACGAGCGCGCGGTGTAGAAAGGGCATGTGTGTCTGCGCATGCGTATCGTCCCTCATCCGCACCAGCACAAACTTATGTCAGCGATCAAGTTTCATATCTCCCAAAACGCTTCGATGATTCTGCCAATAAGTATTCTTATTCTAGTCACGTCATCTGGAGCTAATATGAAATTAACGCGCTTTAATCCGTGAGGTAACGGCGCACGCGTAGTCGGTGGCTCTACACAACAGGTTATAATCTTCAACGTCAGTGTAATTAAACAGTCAGGAGCTACAGAGGCTTCGGTCTCTACGGGAATCTGAAACAAAACGCAACTGACCAAAATGGTGTAATCAGTCTATTTCTAAGGCTGAAGATTGACTCAAATGTAACCACACGTTTCTATACCAGAGCAACACTGCAACAATGTATCCATCATGGCGCTAAGGGCTAATGGCGCAGCCTCTTACACGTACGCTACAACGGGTCATGGGTTAAGATTAAAATAGACTAAATAGGATAAGAATAAGATTCACAACTCTTGCTCTGAACAAATGTATTTGAATCTTTTATAACAGACAGACAATAGTAGGTTAACCATGTTCCAATATGTCAGGGTAATCACATCGCTATCTCACTTTAATCGGATTTCTGCTTAAACTCCTGTTCTAAATTCTTGCAAAAACGTGTAAAATCCAAAACACAATGTCATATAAATGGGGAATAAGGGCCGCGCAACCAAGGTCACACGTGTTCGCAGCCAAAGCGAAACCTAATTGCATCCATCTCGCATCTCTTCAATCCTTCTTCCAAAAGTGTCCATCCGATCAAACCATGGACATATCATGAGCGGGACATTGATTAAAGATACAATTAGCGACAAAGAAACAACAAGAGCCATGCCAGAAGCCCATAGCAACCATAGCAAGTGCGCGCGACGCCATGCACGCGGCCTACCTCAAAGTCCTGAGGTCCAGGTCCAGGTCCAGCACGGGTCCGAGTAGCGATTCCTCACAGACGCATCCAACACAAAATCAAACGTCCCGATAGTCTTTAAATAAATCTGTAATTCCAAAGATGAGGCCAGGTCCGCAGTAATCCTCAGGCGGTCTCTGGTCCGGTCTCGGGACTCTCGGTCCTTCTTGCACGCGTAGAGTTCTGTGAATTTTATACTGCGACGTCACGTGACTGGCAATGAACTGACGCCTGTGTCCTTACGCCAAGTCAGAATCCACGTTATTACTGTGGTTTTGGGTTCAACCTCAGCTGTTTCGCCTCTTTCTGTCTTTTTGGCTGTTATGGATTCTGTTTAAATGATATTACCTTGAATAGCTGCGTAATAACAAAACCTCCCTCATTCAGGTGACTGGGACTATATTTTCACCACGTCACGTCACGCTGTGTAATAAAGTGTATAACATCATATAATTAGACGCCTATGAAAAGCACAGGTAAGTAACCCACCTGTCGCTTAATTATATAAGAAATAAAACTTTATTAATTATTATTTTTTATGTATTTATTTCAATAAACGCAGTTGTTAATAAACTTTAAAAACTGTTGTGATAATAAAGGCGTCATGTGTGTCTTATTATTTATTAGTTGTTGCAAACGGGTCATAACAAAATATATCAGTTTTTTATTCCCGCTTTGATTCACCGCCACTAATGAAACCTTTTGCTTTTTATGTTTACAATGATTCATTCAATTTGTGTAAACTTCGAGATTCTTCGAGAACTTCTTCGAATTTATTATTTCATGATTTTCCGTTTTTTGACACTGTTTGTCAGAAAGAGAGAGAGAGAGAGAGAGAGAGAAAGAGAACGAAAGAGTTCTCGCAAGAGACTGGAAGCGAGCGAGAGACTGAGAGAGAGAGAGAGAGAGAAAGCAAGTTTAGTTCTGACTCTGGGCACTAACAGGAGTCCAGTCCCTGTGCTCCTCAGAGTCCCAGCAGGAGTCCAGTCCCTGTGCTCCTCAGAGTCCCAGTAGGAGGCCAGTCCCTGTGCTCCTCAGAGTCTCAGCAGGAGTCCAGTCCCTGTGCTCCTCAGAGTCCCAGCAGGAGTCCAGTCCCTGTGCTCCTCAGAGTCCCAGCAGGAGGCCAGTCCCTGTGCTCCTCAGAGTCCCAGCAGGAGGCCAGTCCCTGTGCTCCTCAGAGTCCCAGCAGGAGTCCAGTCCCTGTGCTCCTCAGAGTCCCAGCAGGAGTCCAGTCCCTGTGCTCCTCAGAGCCTGGGCTGGTTCGTATGGTACTAACATGTCACTAATATATTTTGGTGAGAGAGCAAGAGAGAGAGAGCGAAAGAGAGAGAGAGAGAACAAGAGAGAGACCAGAGAGAGAGAGAGAGAGCAAGAGAGAGAGATCAGAGAGAGAGAGAGAGAGCAAAAGAGAGAGAGAGAGAGCAAGAGAGAGACCAGAGAGAGAGAGAGAGCAAGAGAGAGAGACCAGAGAGAGAGAGAGAGAGCGCGAAAGAGAGAGAGAGAGAGCAAGAGAGAGACCAGAGAGAGAGAGAGAACAAGAGAGAGACCAGAGAGAGAGAAAGAGCAAGAGAGAGAGACCAGAGAGAGAGAGAGAGAACAAGAGAGAGACCAGAGAGAGAGAGAGAGCAAGAGAGAGAGACCAGAGAGAGAGAGAGAGAACAAGAGAGAGACCAGAGAGAGAGAGAGAGCAAGAGAGAGAGACCAGAGAGAGAGAGAGAGAGCGCGAAAGAGAGAGAGAGAGAACAAGAGAGAGACCAGAGAGAGAGAGCAAGAGAGAGAGACCAGAGAGAGAGAGAGAGAGCGCGAAAGAGAGAGAGAGAGAGAACAAGAGAGAGACCAGAGAGAGAGAGAGAGCAAGAGAGAGAGACCAGAGAGAGAGAGAGAGAGCGCGAAAGAGAGAGAGAGACCAGAGAGAGAGACCAGAGAGAGAGAGAGAGAGCGCGAAAGAGAGAGAGAGAGAACAAGAGAGAGACCAGCGAGAGAGAGAGAGAGCAAGAGAGAGAGACCAGAGAGAGAGCGCGAAAGAGAGAGAGAGACCAGAGAGAGAGAGAGAGAGCGCGAAAGAGAGAGAGAGAGAACAAGAGAGAGACCAGAGAGAGAGAGAGAGCAAGAGAGAGAGACCAGAGAGAGAGAGAGAGAGCGCGAAAGAGAGAGAGAGAGACCAGAGAGAGAGAGAGAGAGCGCGAAAGAGAGAGAGAGAGAACAAGAGAGAGACCAGAGAGAGAGAGAGAGAGCGCGAAAGAGAGAGAGAGACCAGAGAGAGAGAGAGAGCGCAAAAGAGAGAGAGAGAGAGAGACCAGAGAGAGAGAGAGAGAGCGCGAAAGAGAGAGAGAGAGAACAAGAGAGAGACCAGAGAGAGAGAGAGAGACCAGAGAGAGAGACCAGAGAGAGAGAGAGAGCGCGAAAGCGAGAGAGAGAGACCAGAGAGAGAGACCAGAGAGAGAGAGAGAGAGCGCGAAAGAGAGAGAGAGAGAACAAGAGAGAGACCAGAGAGAGAGAGAGAGCAAGAGAGAGAGACCAGAGAGAGAGAGAGAGCGCGAAAGCGAGAGAGAGAGACCAGAGAGAGAGACCAGAGAGAGAGAGAGAGAGCGCGAAAGAGAGAGAGAGAGAACAAGAGAGAGAGACCAGAGAGACCAGAGAGAGAGACAGAGAGAGAGCCACAAGAACAGGCGATACTATAATCCGTGCTGGTGAGCGACATGATATGAGGGTTAGCCACACTCACACACGAAGCTAACAAGGCTAATAAGGCTAACAAGCTAACAGTTGTCGGTTGCCATCGTAACGCGGTGCCGCATCTAACATCCGCCCGTGTGGAAACAGACCGCGGAGCTGAGAGCGGAGCTGGTCCTGCACCTTGCCCTGTCGCTTATCGCGTTTGGTCTGAACGCACCATCATGCTCTACCGACTGAGCTAGCCGGGCTGTGGGTACTGGTTCTAATGTGACATGTTATATACTGTTTGCTACTGTATTGCACCGGTGAAGAGCTGGAATGATTGAAACCAAAGTCTATGAAAAATAAAAGACCATGTGTCATATTCTGACCATCTAACCAGTTTCCTCTGTTGTCCTCATGAATAGGCTCCGGCTGGCCCTTCCCCGGCTGAATAAAAACTTTGGCTCTTAGTTCTGAAGACTGTTGTAAAATCAACATAATTGCCTCCGGCACATTTACTCAAGGTAAGTTATATTATCTTCCTTTTGCTGTGAATAGTTGACTATTAGTTTTTTCATGATGCTAAGTTACTATAGCTAATGCTAGCAATCAGAGGAGTGTCTCCCATAGAGGGATCCATGGGCCCCCTGGTGGGCCGCGAGTGTATAGCAGGGGGGGTCATAAAAAAAGCTAGCTGTGCCCACTGCTAAAGCTAAAATCCTAATGAGTTGCGATTTGTGAATATTACCTCAATATCATTCAGCTAAAGACAGGAACAGGAACGTTTGCGCAATTCGACTTATTTTTTATTTTTTTACAGAATTAACTACGTGGTTACTAGGATTTTTTGCTAACAAGTCGGTTTGTTAATTGCGCTGAAGATGTGACGGATATGAATAGAGATATGTAATAGACACTATACAATGTTATCTGCCTTGATATGACGGCTATAGTAAGTAAGTAATCTTTATTTATATACCGCCTTTTCACTGCACATCGGAGTCTCAAAGCGGTTTACAATTGTTATTTTTGGGAGTGGGGGTGCCAGTACAGGAGGCACATGCCAGACCTTTTGTACATATTTTTAGTGGTAGGGGAAACCGGAGCACCTGGAGGAAACCTACGCAGACACAGGGAGAACATGCAAACTCCACTCAGAAAGGCCCTGGTCCAACCGGGATTTGAACCCAGGACCTTCTTGCTGAGAGGCGAGAGTGCTATCCACTCAGCCACCGTGCCGCCGCGTATACTTCCCTCCTTGTGTCAGAATTTATTATATTACCATTGTAAGTAACAGGAACAGACACCAGTACTCTTAATTGTCTGGTATTTAAAACTTACGGACAAAATTGTGGCTAGAGAAGGAGTGGTTGGTGTCCAGAAAGAAGAGCATGGGAGAAAGAACATAGCCCTGAGCTGTCTTTGTAATTTGGGCGTCTGGAAAATTCTTCCTCAGACGAGCTGCTTCCTGTCCGTCAAGAAGTCATTGATCCACCTGCAGGTTGAGTTGGGCACGGAGAGCTTGTCCTGAAGCAGGGATGGCAGGATTGTGCTGAAAGCAAAGCTGAAGTCCACTCACAGGACCCTGACTTCAGTCTGACGGCTGCGTAACAACTGAAGAGTAAACTCAAGTCAATCAGCTTGTGTTCATATGAGGGGCTTTAGGCTCAGCCCCTTCCAATCAGAAGCAAAGTAGAATTGTTCTTGAACTTGCTCCTTGAATTGTGCTTCAGTTTTCTTCATCTACGTCCTAAAGCAATACTTGGCACATGATTCATTCTTCTCCTGGTTGGAGCTGGACGATCACAGGACAAAGATAATTCTTTATTCAGCAGTGATAGTTTGTCTTGTTCAGTGATAAAAACGTTGGAGAGGAACATTCCCAGGTAGGGCTGTGCGTATGGTGCATCTCTGAATATGCCCAATACGCCACACTCTCGCCTCCTGTGGCTTCTCACTTTCTTGGAAAAACAGGTAGGTCCGTAAATGTTTAAAAGAATATTTTATGGTCCCTGAGAGGGTCAGACCATGACTAAGGATAACATGTTCTTTTTGGACTTGGTCTTTGGAATGTTGTTATTTTCTTAACAATCAAGAGTCACGTTCACTTAAGGTTTCTTTAACTGTGTAGTTTACAGAAGTAGATACAAATACATCTGTGTAGTTTATTGTTATACTGTTACACTATTATGGCGCGTTCAGACCGGACTTAACTTCGGCATCAAAAGCGTCAGGTTTACATTGAAAGTGAATGGTGAATCGCTCACGTCTCTTTCCGCGTCAAAAAATCCATTGACGCCGAAGCTGAGCAAAGCTGAGCTTTTGGAGCTTTGACGCAGGGCTTCAACCAATCAGGAGACAGGGTCGCTCGAGCGAAGGATGAAGCCGGTGGAAGCGGGAAAAGAATTATAGTGGCTGTGAGCTCGTGCCCAGAGCTATTTGCGATATCCAGTCAGCTATACAGGGACAGGATCAAGCAGGACCTTGCTTGGAGGAGGATCAGTGAGGAGATCGAGAATGATGGTAAGTTATCTAAAAAATTCACTACTGTTCATGTTTAGTAAACTCCATTTAGGAGTCGTACAATGTACAGTCGCTATGATTTCTGTTCCCGCTCACAAGTTCATTTTTTCATATAAAAAAGAAATTAAAAAAAGGTGGAAAAGCTTGAGGGACAGGTTCATGAGGGAGTGCAGGAAGGAGAAGGAGAGGAAGCAAAGTGGTGCAGCAGCAGGGAAAGTGCAGAGGTGGAAATACTTTGCCTCGCTCTCCTTCTTTGAGCCCTTCCTCACACCGAGGCCATCTACTGGTAACATGCCAGCACCAAGGGCCGAGGAGGAGAGCGGGTACAACCACCTCAGAGAGGAAGAACCAGCAGCAGCAGCAGCAGCGGCGGAGCTGTCAGATGCAGGTCTGTAGCTAAAAAACAATGTATGGAAAGAAGTCATGTGGCTGCCCGCTTTTACTGTTTTTTTTGGTCATTATTGTTATCATTAATAATAGTTTTTTTTGTGAATAGTAACGTTCCTAATAAGCAACTAGCAAAATAAATGTACACATTCATACAGTCATGCAGCTGCCCACTTTACTTTGTTGTTGTCATTATTGTTATTAGCAATGTTATTTGTATGAGTAGTAACATTTTATAAGAGAGTAACAAATTATTGTACTCTTGCTGTGAATTAAAAGTAATTTATTTAATAACAGAACAAGCTGTTGCAGAGCCTGACTCAGAGCCAGGTGCTGGTGCTGGACCGTCCTCTGTTGGTTCTTCCTCTGCTGCTGGTCCTTCCCCTGCTGCTGGTTCTTCCTCTGCTGCTGGTCCTTCCCCTGCTGCTGGTTCTTCCTCTGCTGCTGGTCCTTCCTCTGCTGCTGGTCCTTCCCCTGCTGCTGGTTCTTCCTCTGCTGCTGGTCCTTCCCCTGCTGCTGGTTCTTCCTCTGCTGCTGGTCCTTTCCATGCTGCTGCACCTTCAGGTGTGTAGGAATTCCATTTTATTGTTGTGAAAGTAAAAACGTTATATAAAACATTTCATATATATTTTTGAGTATGCGGTTATTAAATAGTGATATTCCAATGAAAAAACAGTTTTTCAGAGGATATACTTATTTTATTTATAAAAGCAAAGGATTTAAAAGTTGTTCATAGATTATTATATTCTACATGCTCATGACTTTATATTTATATTCTGTTAAACCGTTACATTGTAACACTGTTACACCATTACACTGTTAAACCGTTACACTGTTACACATTGTTACACCGTTACATTGTTACACCGTTACACTGTTAAACCATTACTGTTAAACCGTTACACTGTTGCACTGTAACACTGTTACACCACTACACTGTTACACCGTTACACTGTTACATTGTTACACCGTTACACTGTTACACATTGTTATACCGTTACACCGTTGCACTGTTACATTGTTGCACTGTTACACTGTTACATTGTTGCACTGTTACATACTGTAACACTGTTACATTGTTACACTGTTAGATTGTTGCACTGTTACACCATTACACTGTTACATACTGTTACACCAGTACACTGTTACACCGATACACTGTTAAACCGTTACATTGTTACACTGTAACACTGTTACGTTACACTGTTAAACTGTTACACATTGTTACACCGTTACATTGTTACACTGTTACACATTGTTACACGTTACACATTGTTACATTGTTAGACCGTTACACTGTTAGACCGTTACACCGTTATACTGTTACACCATTACACTGTTAGACGTTACACCGTTAAACTGTTAAATTGTTACACTGTAACATTGTTGCACTGTTACACCATAACACTGTTACATACGGTAACACTGTTACACCATTACACTGTTACACCGTTACATTGTTACACCGTTACATTGTTACACCGTTACATTGTTACACCGTTACATTGTTACACCGTTGCACTGTTACATTGTTACACCGTTACATTGTTACACCGTTACATTGTTACACCGTTGCACTGTTACATTGTTAGACCGTTACACTGTTAGACCGTTATACTGTTACACCGTTGCACTGTTACATACTGTAACAGTGTTACACCACTACACTGTTACAGTTACACCGTTGCACTGTTACATTGTTGCACTGTTACATACTGTAACACTGTTACACCACTACACTGTTACACCGTTACACTGTAACATTGTTGCACTGTTACACCATTACACTGTTACACATTGTTACACCGTTACATTGTTACACCGTTACACTGTTACACCGTTGCACTGTTACATTGTTACACCGTTACATTGTTACACCGTTACATTGTTACACCGTTACATTGTTACACCGTTGCACTGTTACATTGTTAGACCGTTACACTGTTAGACCGTTACACCGTTATACTGTTACACCGTTGCACTGTTACATACTGTAACACTGTTACATACTGTAACACTGTTACACCACTACACTGTTACAGTTACACCGTTGCACTGTTACATTGTTGCACTGTTACATACTGTAACACTGTTACACCACTACACTGTTACACCGTTACACTGTAACATTGTTGCACTGTTACACCATTACACTGTTACACATTGTTACACCGTTACATTGTTACATCGCTACACTGTTAAACCGTTACATTGTTACACTGTAACATTGTTGCACTGTTACACCATTACACCGTTACACTGTTAAACCGTTACACATTGTTACACGTTACACATTGTTACTCCGTTACATTGTTACACCGTTACATTGTTAGACCGTTATACTGTTACACCGTTACACCAATACATTGTTAGACGTTACACCGTTACACGTTACACTGTTACAGTTACACCGTTACATTGTTAAACCGCTACACTGTTAAACCGTTACATTGTTGCACTGTTACACCATTACACTGTAACACTGTTACACTGTTACACCGTTGCACTGTTACATTGTTACACCGTTACATTGTTACACCGTTGCACTGTTACATTGTTACACCGTTACATTGTTACACCGTTGCACTGTTACATTGTTACACCGTTACATTGTTACACCGTTGCACTGTTACATTGTTAGACCGTTACACTGTTAGACCGTTACACCGTTATACTGTTACACCGTTGCACTGTTACATACTGTAACACTGTTACACCACTACACTGTTACACCGTTACACTGTAACATTGTTGCACTGTTACACCATTACACTGTTACACATTGTTACACCGTTACATTGTAACATCGCTACACTGTTAAACCGTTACATTGTTACACTGTAACATTGTTGCACTGTTACACCATTACACCGTTACACTGTTAAACCGTTACACTGTTACACATTGTTACACGTTACACATTGTTACTCCGTTACATTGTTACACCGTTACATTGTTAGACCGTTACACCGTTATACTGTTACACCGTTACACCAATACATTGTTAGACGTTACACCGTTACACTGTTACAGTTACACCGTTACATTGTTAAACCGCTACACTGTTAAACCGTTACATTGTTGCACTGTTACACCATTACACTGTAACACTGTTACATTGTTACACTGTTACACCGTTACATTGTTACACCGTTGCACTGTTAAATTGTTGCACTGTTACACCATTACACTGTAACATACTGTAACACTGTTACATTGTTACACCGTTACATTGTTACACCGTTACATTGTTACACCGTTGCACTGTTACATTGTTGCACTGTTACACTGTTACATTGTTGCACTGTTACACCATTACTGTTAAACCGTTACGCTGTTAGACCGTTACACTGTTACACGTTACACTGTTACATCGTTACACTGTTACACCGTTACACTGTTACACCGTTACACTGTTAAACCGTTACACTGTTACACATTGTTACACGTTACACATTGTTACTCCGTTACATTGTTACACCGTTACATTGTTAGACCGTTACACCGTTATACTGTTACACCGTTACACCAATACATTGTTAGACGTTACACCGTTACACTGTTACACGTTACGCTGTTACAGTTACACCGTTACATTGTTAAACCGCTACACTGTTAAACCGTTACATTGTTGCACTGTTACACCATTACACTGTAACATTGTTACACTGTTACACCGTTACATTGTTACACCGTTGCACTGTTACATTGTTGCACTGTTACACCATTACACTGTAACATACTGTAACACTGTTACATTGTTACACCGTTACATTGTTACACCGTTGCACTGTTACATTGTTGCACTGTTACATTGTTGCACTGTTACACTGTTACATTGTTGCACCGTTACACCATTACTGTTAAACCGTTACACTGTTAGACCGTTACACTGTTAGACCGTTACACTGTTACACGTTACACTGTTACACCGTTACATCGTTACACTGTTACACACTGTTACACTGTTACACCGTTACACTGTTACACATTGTTACACGTTACACATTGTTACTCCGTTACATTGTTACACCGTTACATTGTTAGACCGTTACACCGTTATACTGTTACACCGTTACACCAATACATTGTTAGACGTTACACTGTTACACGTTACACTGTTACAGTTACACCGTTACATTGTTAAACCGCTACACTGTTAAACCGTTACATTGTTGCACTGTTACACCGTTACACTGTAACACTGTTACATTGTTACACTGTTACACCGTTACACCGTTACATTGTTACACCGTTGCACTGTTACATTGTTGCACTGTTACACCATTACACTGTAACATACTGTAACACTGTTACATTGTTACACCGTTACATTGTTACACCGTTACATTGTTACACCGTTGCACTGTTACATTGTTGCACTGTTACACTGTTACATTGTTGCACTGTTACACCATTACTGTTAAACCGTTACACTGTTAGACCGTTACACTGTTAGACCGTTACACTGTTACACGTTACACTGTTACACCGTTACATCGTTACACTGTTACACCGTTACACTGTTACACCGTTACACTGTTAAACCGTTACACTGTTACACATTGTTACACGTTACACATTGTTACTCCGTTACATTGTTACACCGTTACATTGTTAGACAGTTACACCGTTATACTGTTACACCGTTACACCAATACATTGTTAGACGTTACACGTTACACTGTTACAGTTACACCGTTACATTGTTAAACCGCTACACTGTTAAACCGTTACATTGTTGCACTGTTACACCATTACACTGTAACACTGTTACATTGTTACACTGTTACACCGTTACACCGTTACATTGTTACACCGTTGCACTGTTACATTGTTGCACTGTTACACCATTACACTGTAACATACTGTAACACTGTTACATTGTTACACCGTTACATTGTTACACCGTTGCACTGTTACATTGTTGCACTGTTACATTGTTGCACTGTTACACCATTACTGTTAAACCGTTACACTGTTAGACTGTTACACTGACTGTTACACTGTTACACGTTACACCGTTACATCGTTACACTGTTAGACCGTTACACTGTTAGACTGTTACACGTTACACCGTTACATCGTTACACTGTTACACCGTTACACTGTTAAACCGTTACACCGTTATACTGTTACACCGTTACACCAATACATTGTTAGACGTTACACCGTTACACTGTTACACGTTACACTGTTACAGTTACACCGTTACATTGTTAAACCGCTACACTGTTAAACCGTTACATTGTTGCACTGTTACACCATTACACTGTAACACTGTTACATTGTTACACTGTTACACCGTTACATTGTTACACCGTTGCACTGTTACATTGTTGCACTGTTACACCATTACACTGTAACACTGTTACATTGTTACACCGTTACATTGTTACACCGTTACATTGTTACATTGTTGCACTGTTACATTGTTGCACTGTTACACCATTACTGTTAAACCGTTACACTGTTAGACCGTTACACTGTTAGACCGTTACACTGTTACACGTTACACTGTTACACCGTTACATCGTTACACTGTTACACCGTTACAC